AATTGGCTTTCATGGTCACAACTAAGTCCATGAATGTGTCCATGGTTACTATTACCATTGTCATGTAGAACGTCCATGAACACACGTTTAGACATGATACTGTTATCAATGGACACAAATACCATGATAGAACTAATCAATGGCCAACTGTATTAGTAATGGACATGGGATGTAGGGATGGGCGATGTGTATCGATATCATCGAAATATCGATATTTTGTTTCGATGTTGCGATATTTTTTATCGATATTCGACCTCTTCCGATGTAGCGATAATCGATATTTCTCATCCGATATATCGGAAGGCAAATTAAGTCTACAAATGGGATAAAAACCATGATAAAAACACAATTTACGGTCGTGAACTGTCTACAATTGGCCTAAAAAGAGCTTCTCGCTTCATTAGCGTCACCCCTTCTCCTACCCTAGAGCTGCCAAACGTATGTTTCTAATGTCAGACTACTTTACAGCAGTTTTTCTTGTAAAGAATTCTTACATTTGTTCCAAATATTAACGGTACATCGGGTTTATCGATATATCGGGTACATCGATCTTTTTAAGCGATATATCGATAGTCTATATCGGACCATTACAATAATATCGGTAGTAATAATATCGATATTTTCCTTTCGATATGCATCCCTAATGGGATGTTTTCCTCATGGTCTCTGTGTTTATCATGGCGAGGGTTTGTGTCCATGGACGTGGAGTCATGGTCACAACCTTTGACCATTGGGACACGTCCATGAATACAACCTGGTCCATGACAAGCCATGCACCTAGGACCATGATCAAACGACAGCCATGTCAATGTCAACGGTACTTTTCATGGCCACATCGTTTCATAAATCTATGGACAAGAAATGACCCTGACAAAAAGGCACAATGGTTCGTGTTCAGAACGTGTCTATGGGAGCAGCTGGCTGCCCGCTGGCCATGGAATTGATTTACCATGGTCAGAGTGTTCACAGAAATTCATTTACATGGCCAGGATTGTGGCCATAGTACGTGTGTGTTCATGGTCAGAGTGCCCACAGAAATTGATTTACATGACCAGGATTGTGGCCATGGTACGTGTGTGTTCGTGGTCAGAGTGCCCACAGAAATTGATTTACATGGCCAGGATTGTGGCCATGGTACGTGTGTGCTCATGGTCAGAGTGTCCACAGAAATTGATTTACATGGCCAGGGTTGTGGCCATGGTACGTGTGTGTTCATGG